CCGGCCGCCCGCCGCCTGCGTCCGCAGCGCCTGCTCCGCAGCGCCAACCCGACCGTGCCTCGCGCTGCCCGCCCACCGGGGCGGGGCCATGCAAACGCATGCTAATACACAGCCCCCCGCCCGCCGCCTTAAAGGGCCTGCGCCCGAGGCCTAGTCCCTCCTCCGCGCCGCGCTCGGCCGGACCCGCTGCGCGTCCCCGCTTTTCGGGGGCGGGATCATGCTAATATTTGCAAAATATCCCTTGGTCTGGCCCACCACCTTAAAGGGCTCGCACCCACCCACCAGTCCTGTTAGGGCCAGGTCTGTGGCTGCGAAGGCAGGCGCACTCCGTGGGGTCCTGGACAGACGCAGGAGAGGTGCGAGGATCTAGGGGCCACGGTCCTTGGCTGCCCTCGGAGAGCAGAGCCTGGATCCCTGAACTCCCTCCCGCCCAGACACCTGAGGTCCCCTTCTCTGTCACTCGGGATCTGGCGGCCGCGCAGTCAAGGATGAACACGTGGGGGCGCCCGAAGGCCGCGTGGAGGGTGGGTGAGCGTGGGAGGGACCAAGAGCGTGGAGGTGGCCCGGAGCCCCAGGGGGTCCGAGATCTCGAAGGCACGGGTGCCCTGGGCCCAGCTGCAAGGGACGTGCGGCTCACGCGTGTTGCAAGCTCGCGCATGCATGGTGCGTGCTCTGTTCTTTCTTTGGGTTTCTTCTTGCCTTACTGCCGCACAGGAGGTGCAAACCAAGAGTCAGTTTGCAAGCAAAAGGTACTGAGGCTCGGACAGCTGTCGACTAACGCAGGTGGCAGGGCTGGTCAGCCTCTTCTCATCAGCAGGTGACGTCGGGGACACCCTGGGGCGGCCCTGCTATCCCGGTCTGCGATTGCCCCTCTCCAGGCACTGCAGTGTCAAGTATGGCCGCAGCTCTGCAAGGGGACGTGGCTGCAGGGGTCAGCGGGCGGCGTAGGACACAGAAGGCTGGCACCACGAGCAGATCGCGGACAGCGGTCTGGCCTAGGTGGTCTCGCGAAGGGGTCACGCAGGACAACAGCAGTTCCTGCGGGTGGAGGTACTAGGCTGGCATCAGGGACTCAACTACTACCACCTTCTGCAATTGAAATTGCCCAGAAAACAAGCAGAGACCTGGCCTTCACCCTCACCGGTGGCCTTGCTGAGCAGGAGACGTGGGTCCTCTGACAGGTCTGGGGAAAGCTGCTAAAATTGGGCCAGTGGCCGGGTTGGTGGTGCACCCCTGTAATCCCAGCACTCAGGAAGCTGAGGCAGGAGGATCTTTATGCATTGGAGGCCTGCCTGGGCTACAAAGTGAGCTTCAGGCCAGACTGAACTGCATAGTGAGACCCTGTTGCAAAGATAAATATAAATAAAGTTGGGGAGAAAAGCCAGGCATGGTAGGGCACACCTGTAATCCCAGGATTCTGGGGGGCTGAGGCAGGAGGTTCACAAATTTAACCCAAGGCATTTAGTGACACACAAAATGAAGAGACTTAAGATCTTCACGCTAATATTGTTTGGACAATTAAATGCTGATAACTTTTTTTTTTTGGGGGGGGGAGACAGGGTCTCACTATGCAGTTCAGGCTGGCCTTGTGCTCACTTTTGTAGCCCCCAGGCTGGTCTCGAACTCACAGAGATCCTCCTGGTTCAACCTTCCGAGTGCTGGGATTACCCAATGTATTAACCACTGTTATTTATTAGTGCCAATTAATTTTACAAAACATTAGGCTTTTCTGGTTTTGAACTTAATTTTTATTAGAAATTATGCATGTGTGCAGTACTTAGTGATTACACCCTCACACATGGACTTACATCTTACTGCTTATGAAATTAGTACTGCACAGTGAGACCCTATTATCTTGTTTTGAAATTTTGTTTTATTGTCTCTTTAACATAAAAAAGTTTAAAAAAAAAAAAAGTATAGTAAGAAGAAAAGAATTGCGGGCTGGCCAGATAGCTCAACACATTACAGTGCCTGCTTAGGCAGATGCAGGGTCCGGCCCCATCCCCGGGGCACGCTGAGCAGTGACAGACCGGGCGTGGTGGCACTGCCTGTAGTCCCAGTGCTTGGGCGGCTGAAAACAGGAGGATCAGAGTCCGAGCTGTGCAGTGAGAACCTATGTCTTGTACTGATTACAAAAAAAAATCTGTGTCGGGGCTGGAGAGATGGCTCAGTGGTCTAAGGCACCTACTTAGAACAAGCTTGGCAAAGCATCAGGGACCGCGGTTCAATCCCCCAGCACCACATGCCAGCCAGCCCCGCCCCCCTGGTGGGCTGAGCTGGCCACACACACACACCACATTCTCTCTCTCTCTCTCTCTCTCTCTCTCTCTCTCTCTCTCTCTCTTTCTCTCTCAAATAAATAAAAAATAAAAAAAATTTAAAAAAAAAAAAAACTTATAAAAAAAAAAAAAATCTGTGTCCATGTATGAGGATGTAATCACGAAGTACTACACACACATACCAATAGAAATTAAAAGTTGAAAACCAGAAAAGCCTGATATTTTGTAAAATTGGCACTAATAAAATTGTATCTTTAAAAGTAGACAACAAAGAAAAAAAAGGTAAAAAGTGCTGTGGATATAGGTCAGTGTGAAAGCCCTAGGTCTAGTCCTAGTATCACAAAAACAGAAAAAAATCAGAAATGGTGCAGCCCCTCCCTGGGCAGCCTCAGGGAGCTATGCTGGGGGTGTGCGCGCGTGCGTACGTGCGTGTGAATGGGCGTGCGTGTGTACGTGCATGTGTGCACGCGGCTGGCCACGTCAGGCCTGGGTGGCCTGGACCATATCACTATGTCCTGGAGGAGACTTGGGATCATGACACGGTCTGTGGGGTGTGACAGGCAAGCCCTGGTGTGGTGGCCTCCACCCTGAGTCCCCAAGACATTCACAGGCGACCCAGGAACATCTGCAGGCGGCACTGCTCCAGGGCAAGTGGCCCGAGGGCTACAGGCAGCCTGGCCCGTGGCAGCCTGCTCTGGAGCGTGCCCTACCCCGCGGCCTCCTGCGCCCAGTGTCTCCCAAGGCCTCCCTTCTAGCCCTCAGCCATGGCTGCCAGGGGCAAAGCTGTGCTCTCTGCAGCCGCCACCACCACCCACCCAAGAACACTCATCTTGCTGAACTGTATCTTGGCAGGGTGGACACCGATGCCTGGCCCTTCACAGCCCTGGCGGCCCTCAGGCCGTTCTGTGCCCAGCCCACTTCACCCCTCGCGACGTTGGCCCCCATGTCACAGCTCGTGTCGGAACCTCCCTTTTCCTGGCTGAGCCAGTTCTGTCTGCCCATCTGCTCAGGACCCCGGTGAGCAGTGCCACAGGCACGTCCCGGGAGGCGATGCTCCTCGGCTTCCTGGACATGACGCTGGCAAGGCGTCACCCTGGCCCTGCACCCCACTGAGCTTCGGGTTCTTCCTCCCCCACTCCAGGGAGCAGCTCCTCCCCTGCCCAAAGTGCCAGTGGGCAAGCAGCCACGGAGCCAGGGACGTGGGCGCTGCGCTGCACATCCGTAGAGCAGCTTAAGGTGTCCTTCTCCCGAAGCACGCTTTCTGAACAGTAATGAGAAAGGAGATAAACTTGTGCTTCCCGATTTTATTAAAGTAAACAGGTATCGCCTTTGCGAACTTCTATCTCCCCAGGTTCAACCACGTGCCCCTGCAGCAGCGGCAGGGCCCCGTGAGGTGGGTCTGTGGGCTCAGCCCGTGTGGGTTCGACAGGGTAGCTGCAGCCTGGATCAGCTGCACCTACAGGCAAGAGGCCTGCAGGGAGCGCCTCTCCACAGCTCTTCTCGGGCTCAGGGCCCGCGCCCTTTCCACCACCGTTTTGGGGCTTGACATCGCCCTTTCCTTGGGTGCCCTCTGCCACTGCTTCCCAGACCTCACATGCCACACACTGGTGACCTTGGACCCTGAGGACAGCTGGCTTTTTCTGGAGTCTGTGCACACATGTACGAATCGGGCCTGTGCACTGCTGGGGCCAATGCCCATCAGACCCTGGCTGAGGTGTGGGTCCCTGCGCAGCCCACACAGGAGGTGGGTGTCAGCTCCAGTCACCACGGAGGCCCACGGGTCACGCGCCAACCTCCTGGAGCACATGTCATTCCTGACGTGAGGACACGTCCTGTCCTGAGCGACAGGGACTGGCAAGTCCATCTGCGTGAGTGTGCCTCTTCTCCACCTCCCTTTACCATCAAGGGTTCCTGGATGGGCCTGATGCCTGCTCCAAGTTGGCAGCGCCTGCTTTGTCCCCACCCCAACCCCTCTAATGTGACCTCTGCTACTGTGTGGGCCCTCAGGCTCCCCCTGTGTTATGTCCCACACAGCCCTGGGACAGCGGGTTTCCAGGGAGGCCCTGCTTCCTCCTGGGGAATACATGTTGAGCCAACTTGGGCACCAGTGCTGGGGCCTGGTGGGCAGCGGGAGTGTGTGCGCGCCCGGCCTACGCCCTGTGCTGCTCGCCATCCTGTTGGCCTGTGGCTCCATGTCCTCTGCCCATCCAGTACCCTGCTCTGCCCCACCTGACACCTCCCACGTCCCCGAAGTTGCTGGGTGCGAAGGACACCAGGCAGAGCTGGCAGGCAGCACAGAGGCCCTGGGCAGAGAGTTGCTTGGCTTGGTTAGGAGGGGCAGGGGGACGAGGCTGAGGCCAGCACTGTGCTTCAGAGCCCACTGGGCTGGGCCAGTGCCTGAGGCCTCGCTCTGGCCTGGCCACTTGCCTCATCCCAGGCACCGTGGCCTCTGCTGTGGGCTGCAAGCTGCCCAGCAAGTGGCCTCCTGGGTGCCTTCTTGCTTCCCCCGCTGCCCCTGCTGCATGGGTAATGAGCTGATAATTAAAGCCACTTCTCATGCTGCCTGCCTGCAGAGGAGCGCATGACCCTGTAGGAGAGGGCCAGCCTCCTTCCCAACCCGGGGCAGCCTCTGGGCACCCTGGGCCTCCCGCCCTGTCCCACCCACTCAGCCACAGTCCCTGGACCTAGGCCCATCATGGTGCAGGTTGTGCTGCTGAGCTGGGGCCTGTGGTACAGGGATGGGAAAGGACTGAGGTGGGGGTTTGCCCTGCAGGGGCTCACGGCAGGGATGGCACTGTGGTGGGAAGGGTGGGGAGGGTACACCCTGGATGGCAGGACTCCACTTCCCCTCACCATGTTTGCAGTTGGTCCCCGAAGGCTCCATGATACCCCAGATCCTGGTCCTGGCCCCTAAGCCTTGACCCTTCAAAGTGGAAAAACCAGAAGCAGGACAGGGACTGTGCGTGAGACTCAGAGGCAAACACGGGAGGGAAAAGGACACCACAGTGCAGAGACCCCACACCAGAACCTGTCAGCAAAGCGTCGTCTAGCAAGCCCTTCCACACAAAGAAAAGTATGGCCAGGTATGGTGGCACACACCTGTAAGCCCAGTACTTGGGGAGGCTGAGGTTCATAAACTCAAGGCACTAATAAAGTTGTGTACCAGCCTGTCTTCTGGGGTCATAGTTCAGGACGCAGCATCCCTGGGTCCCACGCCCAGTGCTGGGGTGGGGAGAAAGAAACTAGGAACAAAGCCTGAAAAAAGTAAGTTGGGACAACGGCAGGAAGGCTGCCTCCCTCCTCTTCCCTGGCACAGTGCGAAGCCACTGCTGAGCGGCCTCGGTGCTGAATGCAGGGTGCAGGGTGCAGTGGCACCTCACTGGCCCAGAGCTCCTGTGGGGTCAAGGCCAAAGTGTGGGTGGTGAACCTCTCCTCAGCCAAGACTCGGGCACAGACCATGTCCTCACAGTGCCCCGGGGACCACTGCAGGCTGCAGGCTCTGGCAGTGGCCCTGGAGGTGAAGGGCGGAGGCTACTCCGGGAGCAGCAGTGCCACCGGGGTCTGAACAAGTGTGCGAGGAGCCTGTCTGGGGGTTGGTGTTGCTGAACCTTACGTGGCACAGGACACCTCCACGCATGAATCCTAAGGGAAAACGGCCGAGCCAGCGAGACCGATCTAGAAAAGACAGCAGGCTTGTTCCAACAGCACTGAGTGCGCACTGTACTACAGGGCACACAGCCACGGGAGGCTATGGCCACCAGGCTGGGGACGATGGGAGGGCCACTGGCGGCAGAGGCCAGGCACGCGGTACTGCTCCCCCCATGGCAGGTCAGGGGCCACACTGCAGCGGAAGTGCTACAGGGCGAGCCCAGCTGTCCCCAGGTCCCAACTTGCCAGGGCCAAGTACCAGATGGTGGGGGTGGTGAAGGGCCACATGCCAAGAAGGAAGAGGCCACTGAGGCTGCTGGCTAGAAAAGCTTTCTTCCCATTTTATTCGATGATACATTTTCACAGAAACATGATATTATTTACAAATATACAGGTAAGAGGCTGCTGGTCAAAAATCTGAAACTGAAAATACCATCAAAAATTAATTTACAAAAGCCGCCCCAGGCAGGGACGCCCGATGGGTGCAGAGGAGGCTGCTGGGCTCAGTCTAGTCTCAGGAAGCGCTGGTCTGCAGATTTTTGGAAGCTGCAAGCATTGCTCTGACTTTGGCCATGAGGTCCTGTGTGGGCAAGACCACAGGGGACCTGTGGGGAGGAGGCGCCCGACAGGCAGGGCTCCTCCTGCCCAGAAATGGAGACCCACACCCACCCAAAGGGCTCTAGATGCAGCCTGGACTGTCTCTGGATGGGGACTGCAATTACGGCAGCAGGAGTGGAAAACGGGGAGACCCCACACCTGTCTGCTTTTATGTATTTAGTACAGGGCCTATGGGGTCTCACTACACAGATCGGACTTGTAGTGACCCTCCTGTTTTCAGCCTCCCAAGTGCTGGGATCACAGGCGTGCACCACCACACCCAGTTTCAAATCGCCAGCTCAGCGTGCCATGGAGGGAGGGCCACCAAGGCATGCTGGGGATTGAACCCCAGTCCCTGCCCCTGCCTAAGCAGGTGCTTTAGTCCGCTGAACTATCTGGCCAGCCCTGACCATACCTGTCTTACCTGAGTTATTTTGCTCTGCACGGAGGAGACGATTGCTGAAGAGATCTGACCTTCTTTTTCCTGAGAAACTCCCCTGGTGCGGAGACAGATAGAGGGTCACTCACAATGGAAATGTGACAAATACCCACACCCCGGCCTGCCAGCGCTAACACAGGGAGAAGGAGGCACTAAAGCATTCCACTTGACACACAAAAGGTTCTATAAAGCAGATCTGACTCAAAATGGCCCTGCGTGTCATATATACGCTTTCTGTTTTCTGGTGTTAAGGACGGAATGGAGTCTCACACGTGCTGACAACGTGCTCCACCACTAAGTTACCTGCCAATCTTCTGACTTTATCTGGAAACAGGTCTCCCTGTCACCGAGCTGCTGAAGCTGGGCTCAAGCTCCCCACCCTCCTGCCTTAGCCTCCCAGAGGCTGTATCATGGTGTCATCGCCAAGGCTGGCTCTCAAAGTTATGTCTGCACTAACATCACCTAAAACACAGACAGAAAGGAGGGGTACCGGGAGGAAGCATTACCAAAGGCCACGGCATCACCCTCCTGGGGTGTGAGAGGCTGTCCAGACAGCGTCTCCTGGGAGCTGTGGGCCCCACTCTACGTGTGGTCGGGGAGCCTGGCAACCAAGAGTGGGTGACATCTGCTCCAAGAGCCTCCTACAGCCAGGGTCTGCGGCCATGGTGAGCCAGGACAGTGATGCTTATTTCAGTGCCGCCTGTTCCACGGCCCTTGGGCAGCACGCATAGGTCCTGTCCAGCTGGGAAGCTACTAAGACCCTGGCCTTTAAGGTAGTGCCACCCCAGGCACCTCCGAGGGCCCTTGTGCCCACGGCAGGCCCAGCACACATTGTGGCTCTCAGCCCATTCTGGTCTCCTGGGGCTTCCTCTGCCTGGGTGACCTGCCACTGCTCCCCTGAAAACCAACCGCCCAGAGGCTTGGTTACCTGGAGCGCTCCTGGCTGGAGCCCCGGCTCTCCACAGGAGAGATGCTGGCCGAGTGGGCCGAGGGTGCTGCAGGCCGGTGTGCTGCCTGCTTGCTAGGCGATGCCGACTGAGACCGGGCCCGGGCCTTGGTCCGAGACTGCGACCGCCTCTTCTTCTTCTTCTCATGGGGACTTCTGGAAGGAAAATGTTAAGTGTGCATCCGCTGCAGGCACAGAGGACCAGACAGCCTGTGTGCGGGCCTGCGGCTGTCCCGTGTGCGCAGTGGGCCTCTGTGCACCCCAGATACGAGGACTGCAGGGTGCTCCAGGGTAGCAGTTGGAAGCGGCCGCTCCCCAGAAAGGTGCGTGGCCTCTAGTGCCTGGCAGCCAGGAGGCTCAATCAGCACTCTACATACATTGAAAACGCCCAAGCCAGGCAGCCAGGATTTACGCTGCCCTCTCGTTATGCTGACTGAAGGAGAACCCCCAAGGCCGGCATCCTTGAGCCACTCCCCACATCCAGCATCGGCTCAGTTCTGATGGTGCCCCAGTTTCTCAAGGGAGGTCCTCAAACTGAGGCTCCCCATCATAGATGCTTTCCAAACCCCAGCCCACACCTCTTCCTTACTGCGGAGCTCCAAATCCACTCTGCTGCGACCTGTTCTGTCCTGAGGGCTTGCCCGTGAGGCAAGGTCTAGCTGCACAACCTCAGTCTCCTGAGTGTGAGGGCCACAGGTACACATGGGTACCCAGCAACAGCCACGTCCAGTGCAGGCAGCTTGCACCCTTCGCACCAGATGCTCCAGGCCCAGGATGCTGAGTCTGCATGAGGCTGCTCCCCTGAGCTGCCACACCTGGCTTGCTAGGCTGGGAGTGGGACAAAGGCCCTTCCATCCAGGCTGACCCTCTCCCTCCAGACATACCTGGGACCCACACACTTGCCTGCTGGCCCTACCCTCAGGCCAGCTGCTCCTGGGTTAAGCCCCTTGGCCTCTTATGAGGGAGGGCCAGGTAACACCAGCATGAGTTAGTGGCCTCACTGGGTCTGAGATGTGCTGCTGGTGGCTGGGCCTGGAGAGCCATGTGTACGTGCCGTGGAGGCCCGCCCAGCACCTCGCACGGCGGGTGTCAGAGCTGACCGCATGTGTGGGTAGGGTGAGAGCAAACCACTGCGGCAGACTGTAGCAGCACACTGGGCCTGGCCATCCAGCTGCCTGTCACGCCACAGGAGGAACTGGGGTGGGGGTGGGGTGCCCAGCCGCTGCGCGATGCTGTCCTTGTTGATCAGCACTCGGGCCAGGGACTGGGTGTCTTCCACGGGACATGGTGAGTGTGGAGCTGCTGCCAGCAGCTCTGGTGTACGGGCGGCATCTATGCTGCACAAGCTTCTCCACCTTTTCTTTCACATTCAGGGAACCTCTGCACTGAGCTACAGTCCCTACATTTCTGTATTTTAAGACAGGGTCTCACTTCGTTGTCTGAGCTGGGCAGGAACTTGTGGTTCTCCTGCCTCAGGGCTGGAATTACAGGTGTGCCCCAGCACGCCTGGTTGTTTCTGTTCAGTTTGTAATCCACTAATTCTAATTAGTGAACTAGAACTCTAATTCACTGGGATTTCAAAGGAAGCAGCAAGTAGCATGTTGAAGTATGTGCTATCAAGCGACCCTCGACTGGAACAATCGAGCCCACGGAGGTGCCCGACTCAGGGGGCGGCCCTGTAGTCTTGGCTCAGACGGTGTACTGTCCAGGTCCCTGCTGCAAGAAGGCAGGAGCAAGGAGTCCACCAAGGTGGCCAAGGCCCACTGTGTGTGTGGCCCCACTGCGTGTACACCGTGTGCGTGGCCGTGGTACCTACCCACTGTGAACGAGCCCCAAACTGTCAGGGGCACGTTTGTATTCTAAAACTTTCTTTGAGCTGGCCTGCGCTCTGTGCCTCTCCCTCCTGGGGGCGACCTGGTGTGGACCTCCACAGTCTGCAGCTTGGAAGACCCTGCCCCGCCCCACCCCGTCAGGGGCGTCTGCACTGCCTGTGCCTGGCAACCGGGGCCAAGGCTCACTTCTGAGTGACTGGCACTCACTGTTCAGGTGATGTGGCTAAGAAGACCGCCCTGTCCTCGCCGAGTCACGTGGGCATCTGGTCAGCACTGTGTGGCCGCGCAGCAGGGCCCTCCTGAACTCTCCCCTGTTCTGTGGCCCCTGAAAACTGGCTTTCTAATCAGTCTCGAGATGGTGATGTCAAAGCACCTGCATCTGTTCTCTGACAAGAGGGCTGTGGATGTTTTGTGTGTGTCTTTTTGAGATAGCGTCTCACTGTGCAGTTTAGGCTGGCCCTGAGCGCTCTTTGTAGCCCAGGAAGGTCTTGAACTTGCAACGATCCTCCTGCCTCAGGCTCTTCAGCGCTGGGTTGCAGATGTGTGCCACCGCGCCCAGGCACTCTGTGACTGTTCTTGGTCTTTCCCCATGGCAGCAAGCTTTAGATTTCTACCTGCCAGGTTCCCCAGATAGCCATGCTGGGTGTGTGCAGGGCGCCGAGGAGAGCCTGGTTTCTGGCGGCACTGGGGAGGAGCCTGGCGGGGAGGCGTGGCGCTCTAGCCTGAGCTACTCCCAGCCACGCACATCGTGGTCTTCAGCGGCCTCGTCTGCTCCAGGCACATTAAGAAGGCCTTGGAGGCCTTTTTTCTCCTTACAGTGCTGAGAAGTGAACCTAGGGGTGCTAGATCTGAGCCCAGGGGTCTATCTCAGAATCGGCTAACACTCCCAAGAGGAGTCCTGTGGCCAAGAATCCAGGGGAAGGTTTAAATTACAAACTCAACTTCTTCAGTAGTCGCAGAGCTACTTAATGATCTATTTTTTTCCCCAGGGTCAGTTTTCTTTTTGGTACTAGGAATCAAGCTCAGGATCTCACACTAGCTAGGCAGACACTGTGCTGCTGAGCTATATTCCCAGCCCCAGGGTCAGTTTGACAATTTTTTTCTTTCAAGAAACTTGTCCATTTCATCTAAGTGGTTGAATTAACCAAAACAAGGTTTATTTCTTTATTATTTTTAATGTTTGCATAGTGTTTTATTTTTTATTTATTAGGTTTTGAGACAGGGTCTCACTGTAGTTCATGCTGGCCTCAAATTTGTGGGCACCGGCCTGCCTCAGCCTGCTGAGTGCTGGGATTACAGGTCACCATGTGCAGCAAGTCTTTCATACTTGATCAACTAAAGTGCTCTCAATTCTTCGATCATTTTCAGGGAACAATCTTTTTCGTTTGGTCATTTTCTGTTTCAACCTTCACCAAAGCCTCTTCTTCCTCCTAAGCATAGCTGCCCTGGACAGACCTGCAGAGACTATATATACTTTAAATTTTGCTGCAAAACCTCATCTCCTTCCTCTGGGACTTCTCTGACTTACAGCAGCTGAAAAGTGTGACACTGGCTTCAAGCACTCGGAGCCTTCTGCTTTCATGATGCAGGGGCCATGCCCGTGGACTGGGAGCAGTCCGACCCACTGGTGCCACCTGGGCTCTACAGCTGCTGGCTGCGGTGCTGCGCGAAGCCCAAGCCTGCGCTCACTTCGGCGCACATGCGCCCCGCAGCCCTGCCCCACTGAGCATTCTGCACTGGGCTTCTCTGCCTCTGAACTCTGTTTTCTATATTCATATTCAGAAGTGACTCAACCTAAGATTTCTGCCCCATCATTGGATTTCATTCAGTCTGCCAACACTTAATCCAAGTGCACAAACTGTGTGCTGGGCCATGAGCCACGGTCTCACACTGCACTGGACACCCAGCTAGGCAGCGGCTACTGAGACAGGGCCTTGCTCCAGCCTGGACCTGCTCCAAGCCCTGACCCTCTGCCCTCGAGCACTGGGACTCTAGGCCGGCACCGGCACACCCGGCTGAGCAGTCTCACTTCTACTACCTTGTTCACGTGTCCCGTTTGTTCCCTGAAGCCCCCTTTTTTTTTTTTTTAATTGATTTTATTTATTTTTTTAAACTTATTTATTTATTTATTTATTTATTTAATATTTGTTTATGTGTGTGTGTGTGTGGCCAGCTCAGCCCACCAGGGGGCGGGGCTGGCTGGCATGTGGTGCTGGGGGATTGAACCGCGGTCCCTGTGCTTTAGACCACTGAGCCATCTCACCAGCCCCATGAAGCCCTTTTTACTGCTTCTGGAATTTAGTAGAGCAGCTGCAACTGTCTTACAGCCTCCGACGGCTCTCAGCTCCTTTCAGTCAGTGGCCATGGGCCACACACCCTCCAGTACCACGGTCAAGATGAGGGACACTCATTCACTGTAACTAGACGCTTTCTGGCCACAGAGCACGCCACCCTCCATGCCACCTACCCACAGTCCCTGCAGCGCCCACATGCAGCCCTTTCCAATTGAGTCGCCAGTCACTGAGAAGCTAATGGGGGGGGGGGGTCCTAACGGGCAAGGCCGTAACATCTAACCAACATTCTGTGGCAAGTACTTCATGATGTACTCAAAAGGTTTTGCATGTTTGCTACGTTTTCATACTGCACTACATTTTCATTACCACAGATCTAGACTGAAGTGTGTACTGCTCCTGGGTAGGGGAGGGAAGGTACCAGGCAAGCCTGGACTAGCCTGTGCTCACAGCAGGAGGGGTCAACAGCAGGGCAGGGTGGCACCTTGCTGCGAGGGGCTTTGCAGGCCTGACCTGAGACAATGTCAGTGCTACAGAGTTAACGAGGCAGTGCACTGCTGTGCCTCCAAGAAGCAAAACCCAACGTCCCCAGAAGCCTCCAGTGACACTAAAAGGAGACTACTGGCTAGTAAGTGCAGGAGAGGAGCAGAGCAGAAGGTCACTGTCCTGATGCGCCAGGGCTTGACCAGGCCAAGACCAGGGATGCTTGTGTGTCTTCCATGCAACACTCCAGCAGGAGGCGCAGTGCGTCTAACCAGGGAGAGCCAGCGGCAAAGCTCCCCGGGAAACGGGGCGGGGGGGAGGAGGGCCACTGTGTGCGTGCCGCTGGGTGGCCTGAGCGGCAGCGCACTGGCGACTCGGGGTGCTCACTGCACTGCTGAAAGCCTGTCCCAATAGGGTGTGGGAGAGGCGCACAGCGCCTGGTGCAGAGACAACCCCGCTCCAGGGGCAGTGTGCGCCAGGCAGGGTGACGCTGTGGCAGTAAGGACAGAGCTGCAGCGTGAGCAGAGGCCAGGTGGTGGAGGGACACAATCTGCCTCAGGATGAGAGACCTGCAAGCCTAAGAAAACACGCCCAGCAGCTCAGGGTGAGGACAACAAACAGGCCAGCAACTGTTGTGCCCACACGTTCACTGCCCCCAGGGCAGCAAGCCCGCCAGCTCCTGCACGCAGTGGGCCGTCTGTGAGGCAGTCGGAGCTTTGCTTGCCCTTCTGTCCCAGGTTCCTGCAGCCATACCAGAGCTCTCGGGGTCTGCACAGCTGAGCTGGCTGACTTCGAATGTCACCTCTTCCTCTCCTCCTCCCCCTCCCCATAAGATCTGTTTTAGCACCAAGGTTAATTCGAGGACAAAGCAAGATCTCTTCTGTTAAGAGATCGATTCATTTTAGAGCATGCCCTTCTCATATACCAGAAGCGTGATGAACTGCAGACATTAAATTACTTGCTTGGGGATGAATGCACACGCTGCGAGAGCCGCGTGCGTTCTGTGTAGGGTTACCAAGGCACAGACTGTCATTTTTAAAGAGTGGGCTTGCACGAGAAACTGGGCAGCACCAACCAGCTGTCCAGGGCCTCTGAGGATTTTCTACTTTAAAAAAGGCTGCTTTGGGGCTGGTGAGTTGGCTCAGTGGTCTAAAGCCTACTTAGAACAAGCTTAGCAAAGCACAGGGACCGCAGTTCAATCCCCCAGCACCACATGCCAGCCAGCCCC